ACAAAAGAACGAAAAACTGACTTGAGCGATTATTCATTTGGTCAGTACAAAATGACTCATTGTGTAGTGGTATAAGCAAGAGAACGACAAATAACCAGTAGAATATAGCCAAAAGGTCATTAAGTGCATTTATTAGAAGATGATTGTTCACGAAAATGCACAATCTGAAAAAAATTTACGAAAACTGAATCGGGTCGAATGTGTTAAAGTTTAAAGTGTTTTGCTTTAAGCTTTAATTAAAGTTTAGAGTGTGTTACTTTAAACTTTAATTAAAGTTTAAAGTTCTAAAGTGTTCACTTTAATAAAGTTTTAAAGTTTTAAAGCGTTTTACTTTAACTTTAAGTTTAAAGTGCCACCCCTAGCTACCATTACCACACTTGAATCGGTAACCAGATCTACGGTTATTGTCACCGTTGCATTCCAACTTGGGCGGATCCGAAGAGCGAGAAAAGTTAGTTGTAGGGATAAATACAATAAAATTGGAAGAAGCGATATGGATCCAACACTGATTTTCAGAGTAACAAAATTAGGTTCCCTTTTTCTGAAGTGTCAATTGCATAATCTGACGATTTGACACACTTCTAACAAACCTCTACTCATATAGTCGGTCATCAGATACTCAGTTGCGATACTTCATTCATAGAAAAATGGTTCTTTACTTAATCATCGTTGAACTCGACCGAGCTCGGTCCAAACTCGATCCTCTGAACTCGAACTCGACTCGAACTCGAGCCTTTGAACTCGAACTCATGTTCGGGTTTGGTACATGTATACATAGGAAAATCGAGCATTTTCTTTTCTATCAGATCATACAGAAAGAATATCTCTTAAAGTTTTTTGAGTGTGGGTGTGAGGTGGGTGTGGGTGTGAGGTGGGTGTTGGTGTGAGTGTTCTCCTAACTCACCCACACTCACACCCACACTCTCAAGTTCCCAGGGTTAAAAACAATTCGGAAACCGATTTAGGTTTCCTATTATACCTTTTTGAGATTCAGAAAGTTCGGAAACCAAAAAGGTATTTTCGGATACCAAATGAACTTTTTCGGCTATATGCGTTTCCTAAGATACCTTTTCGGTTTCCGAAAATACCAATTAGAATTTTGAATATACCATAAGGGTATCCGAGAATACGTTTAGAGTGTCCAAATCTGTATTTTCTAAAACCGATCGGTTTCCGAGCCTTCGGAAACCAAGAAAGTGTTTTCGTAAACTCTCCAGGAGACCGGAAACCGTTTTGGAAACCTCTGAGGGTTTTCGAATGGATTCCCGAACGGTTTTGGATTTTCTAGAGAACGGACTTTTTTAGAGTGTATGGGAGTACCCATAGGTTCTCGAGAACTATTATGTAGGGATACTCATAGGTCCTCAAGAGCTATCCTGTAAGGGTACCAATAGGTCCTCAAAGGCTATTATATGGGGGAATCCATAGGTCTTTGAGGGCTATCCTATAGGGATACCCATAGGTCTTCAAGAGTCATTGTACTGAGAAACCTATAGATCCTCAAGGACCATCCTATGGAAGTATACCATAGTCTCTCAAGAGCTATTATATGGAGGTACCCATAGGCCCTGAAGGGAGTAAGACAATAAGTGGATAATGCTATAAGAGCTACAAGAGGATATAAGGCTATAAGGTCAAAAGCTAATGAAGTATAAAAATGTGTCATATAAGAGTATGAGGCTGTAGGCTATCTATATACACAATGTGGAGTGTCTATATGGCTCTTACTGCTTGAAAGGTTAAAGCTTTGACGTCATATGTTAAAGGAGAAAACAGCTGTGCAGTACGTACGGGCTTACGCTAGTAAATGAATATTGTTCACCAAATACAAATTGTTGTAAATCAGTGGATGGAACATTTATTTATAAGCAAACAAAATTAATATTAAAAAGAAAAGAATAATATAACTTTAACATACACATTTGATCTTTGCAGTAATGATATTAAGTGATTCAATTTTAAAATCACTTTCTTCTACTAGTATATTTGTACCAGTTAAACGTTCTTATAAACCAAAATTAAATTCTTTCCGAATAAATTTTTTTTTGTACTGATACATTGCCATCTAAGAAATCAAAATCAATTCATAAAACTAAATTCAAAATATCTATACAAACCATAATCTCTGATTTCTTCAATTTTATGTACACCAAGATATCGTGCTGAATTATTATCAATAACATTATTAAAATCAAATATATTCAACTTCAATCCTCCATATCCTGAATTTTGATTGAATAAAACTATGATAAATGATTTTATTTTTTAAATTAAAAAAATATTAAATTTATATTAGGAAATTCATTTAATGTATTTTTACTGATAAGTTCAATAGCTAAACCACATGGAACACGAACATCCTATGATGAATAAATAACATGTTTTTTAAGCTTAAATAAAAATAATTTTTTTTTTATATATAAAATAATTCTTTCTTTTTCATTTAGTTTATTAAGAATAAGTTCGACTTCTTCTGGATGTGTACTAAGGGCTTGACCAATTTATGTAGCATCTGATGTTTTTACTGCTAATGAATCTCCATTGTTCAATATTGTCACCAGACGATCAAGCTTAGTTAAATAAATTGAAAATTATTTTGTTTTTATTAGTGATATGCAGCACCCACGAAAGTGAGGGGGGAGGTGTACACCCCCCAATAATTGAAAATTATTTATTATTAGCCAGCAAAGTGGATGAATTTTTTTGAACTTTTAAAGTATTCTCGCTGTTAGAGGTTTTTCAGACATCTTCCAAAAGGATTCTGAGTAGAGAGGGGAGTTAGGGGATGATCTTTACCGAATAATTGTAAACTATAGTTGGGATATCGGTGAAAAACATGACGTTCTATGGCAAGTTGAAGAAACCAGATGATTTTTTTTCCTCGAAACCCAGTGTAAAACGATGGTTTTTCTAGAAAATTCTGAGATGTTAAAATTTGTCGCTTCGCGAAGAAATAACCATATGAATGTATCGGCCTAAAAGTGTCTATGATTTTTCTATTTTTATGACAATTTTACGGTTTTCTACCTTGTGGGCAGCTTCATTTTCAAGCAATAATCACTAGGTGGCCGTCCTCTGCGGCAAAATTGTTACGACTTATCGCAACACTTTTTCCTTTCGAAAAAAATAAGCAAAAGAAGAATTTTTCATAAGTCTGAGAAAAGTTTTCGCTTCGCGAAAAATAACAGTTGCGTAACCACAGGTAACTTAGAAAAACTTCCAACTTTAGTCGGTTTTCTCTTTGAAAGACCTAATCGAGAACAATCGTCACCAGCGTGGCCGCCTTCGCCGGCCGAATTGTTGAGAAATTTTCTTACATTGGATATGATTTGTCTTCTTGAAAATTTGCCCGAGAAAGTCGAATTTTTTAAGAAGGTTGCAAAAAGTTTTCGCTTTGCGAGAAATTGTTACATTTTAGGTTTCAAGAGAAACATTAATATCAGATCTAATACGAAAAAAAATCAGGCGCATAGCCAGAAGTTTTCTAAGAGGAGAAACCAGGGTTCCAAGGGGGACCATCATGATAAAAAATTTTCGCGAAGCGAAAATTTAACTCTGTAACCCACCAGGAAATTTTTCTTGGAAGGGGACCGATCCTCTTTCCCCTTGGCTACGCCACTGAAAAAATTTTGCTTCGCTCAAGCTTAGCTGCCTCAGGACCCATTACACCCCCCCAATCCTGGGACCTTCGCGAGGGATCTGGTGATGTGAAAAAGAAGAGGAATTAGATATGAAAATATAACTAAAATACTATCATAATACCTGGATGTCATTATTATTTTGAGAGATAAGAGACAAAAATCTAGAAGAAATTTTGCAAAATCGATGTAAATTAGGAACAGATCAGTTGCTGTTTTTGAATAAAATATTGAAGGAACATTTGTATTATTTATTTGTGTTTTTTCTTAGGCTTTTATAGGTGGTATGAATGAAAAGAATCGAGAAAAACAATAACTATTAAATTATGTGAAAATAAATTCAATCGCATACGACATCTTTCAAAAGTTCTTTTACATGATCGGTCAATAAAAGGTGAAATATGGACTGTGGACTCGAGTTTGATTCACTAACTTCTAATGACCACTCTCTGACAGGTCCACAGAAGTGAGCCAAACATGTGAGCCAAAGTCAATAGGCTCATTTCATATAGAAGTTATAAGCCAATCAGATGAAAAGTCCATGTTTTACAACCATCCAAAATGATATTTTTCTTTTTCAACGCGATAGAGACATAATAGAATAACAGACAATGTACATCATAAACATGAATTGTTGGTTTCTTAATTTTCTGTTTTTTTTTCAGGTGCAAACTTTGAACTAATTCAGAGAGTGTTGTATAATTCGGTGATTTTCGAATATTATCGACAAGAATAATATGATTCTACTTCAAATTTACATCTAATCTCTTATTTGATACTTATTTTTTTTTGTTTTCAGATATAAAAATTAATCATTGTCAATGAAGAAAAGATTTTAAAAGTTATATTAGTGGCGAGATTAATTGCTGCCAATTGTATGTTGACTGAATCTTAGAATAATTTTAAAACAACATTTATGTCGTAAGAATTCATACAGCTGCATGCTCACATATCGTGCTTATTTTGCAACATTCTGATCGTTATCAAATTTAAGTTTATCAGCTACTCTCGACCAAAAAAGCATAATATTTTACCTAATTTTAAGCTGAAAGAATATTGAGTTCATTTTATCTAATTTTAAACTTAGAGGATAGTGTGAAAAATTTTCACGTTCATATATAAGCAAAAGCGCTCATGTGTGTTAAATTTTGCTGCATTTTTGCATTTGTTACAAGTTATAAGTTCATTCTCCACTGTTAACACCATCAAGACTTCTCAGGCATGCTTATCATAATATATCGACTTGAGAGAGATGAAGTAAATTTTTTCAAACAAAGAACAAAAACTGTCGGTGTACCAAATTCTGTACTAGTTCTTCAGTAAGTAAATTTCTTGTCCTATTTTGTCATCTTACTTATTTTAATGCATTCGAATTGAAAGATTATGAGCAATATATAATATATAATTTGCTTTACAAAATGTTCTAAAGCTGCCTATTTTTATTGCGAAAATTATGAATGCTGATCAGTTTTGAATATGAAATATTGATATAATCGTGACTTCTCTAGAATTTCAAACAAAAAATAAATATTGTCTTGTTTCTGTTAATGTAAGTATTTTTAGTCTTATCTCTGTAAGTGCACAATCAGTCTTTTTCTTACCATAGTTTTACTTATTGAAGCAATGTTCAAGATTTCCACTATTGTTGATGCATCAGCACATATGTCCACTAGATTTCCTTCTATGAAAAGTGTTATAAAATCTGTATTTAAAATTTGTATTTTATAAATACGAAAGTATTTTTTTTTTATACATTAATAAACTTAAAGTTGAAGAAAATGAACTACAGGAAATCTCTTCCAACTGACCATCGTTAGAAATTCTGAAATGTTCAGTTTCAAAAGATATTCATTTAAAGGAAGCATCCTATAATTTGCTAGATGTAACAAATTTTCAAAACAGTAGCTTCTTTACTAGTTTTGAAATAGTCAATGATCATTGCCTGTGGTATTCATCTTTCTTTCCTCGAATATTGAAGAATCCAAAAACTTTTTAACAGAATGCAAAACTTCTTTTTATAATTCACAACTTATGTATTATTGTTTTGGACTTGACATATGAATTTGATGAACATTCTCCAATGATTCAATCAAAAATATATTTATCAAATTTTACAATGTGAAAACTTTCGATCTTTTATTTAATACTTTGTTTTTGATTTATTTGAAAGCCACTTAATTATTTTTCTGTTTTGTTTTAAAATATTGGATATAGAAGCAGATGAAATGTTCAATTTTTCAGCTAACCAATTTTGTGAGAAACGGTAAACACTATTTTTATCAATAAGTAATTGAATTATTTTCACTTAATGAAATGATGTTGAGAAGTCATTACTCTCATTGGTGTGCTCATCTATAACAAACAATGAATAGTGCTTTTAATGCAGCAGCCAGAAAAGATAAAGAATGAGAGGTAAAAAGTGTACGTTTCTTCATTTAAAGGGATAAAAAGAACAATTGAGACTGTAAAGACAATGTTCAAATTACACCAAGGTAGTATTCACTTACGGTATATGTATCTCTAGCAAAAGTCGCTAGAATGTTGTTGCTGAATTCTTTTCCACCATCTTATGTAACTAAAACTTATGTTCATAGCAATTTTTTTTATATTGTTCTTTCATAACTCATTTGATAATAAATGTATATTTTCGATTTTTATTATTGAAATAAATTGAAAATAAATCTTCGAACACAAAGCAAATTCGATAGATATTTATATTTATGAATCAATACTAACAAGTGACACTAAAGTGGCAAAGGCATTCAAAATTTGACTACTATACTTCGGAATAGGAGATTCTTATTTAACGAAATTTATCGTATGATATTGAGCTATTGTTCATCGAATATTTTGAATTCCAACTTCTGGATTTCAGAACACATAATCAATGTCAACCGATCATTTACTAATAAAAAAAACCGTAAAAATGAAAAGAAGTGAAGAAAACATGAAATATTAGATACAATGGAAAACAATCCAATCATGCACGACATCTTTCGATAGCTGTCTCATATTATCAGTCAAGATAGGTGAAATATGGATTGTGGATTCGACTTTGGTTCACGTCGAGTTTGGTTCACTTCTGACAACCTCTCTGACAACCAATCTGATCAAGATGACGAAACTAATGATTAGTCATAAAAATCGAAGAAGAAAAAAAAATTGACGTTTCTGTCATAAATAGAGAAAAGATCGATAATGTTCATTTTTTCATATATATGTAAATGGTTGACATATTTCTTATAAATTACATTAAATTTATAAACATGACTATGAATAAAATTAAATGAAAATTAAATTCTAATAAACGGATAAAAAAAATTCGATGTGATTAAAAACAACGTAAATGATGTTAAAATAAGTCTAATGTTTCTATTAAATTTCTATAAAGATCATCAATAATCACATTTAACAATCTTTCAATCTCAAATGAATTATTTTATGAAATCTTTGATTTATTTTGGTAGTTGTAGTATCCATGAAATATTTTCAAATGTTAATCATTATTTTCAACAATTAATTAATTCATTATTTCTTTAATTTAAAATAAATTATTCTTATTCAATATCAGAATTTTTTTTCACAAATAATTGAAAATAAATCATATCTCATTTCTCACTCTCAAATATATTCTATTGAATTATCTTCATTATCATGTACTAATAAATTTTTTATCATTATTATTTATGATCGATTCATCATTTAATCATCTTGAATTACTTGCTTGTTTTTTTGGAATATTAAATTCGACGTACTTGACTCAATCTTTATCGAACTATTATTTTTAATACATCTTCAATCATTAACTATTAACATGTTTAATAGATCAATGAATTTAACAACTATTTATCAATTTATATTCAATTTATTCATGTTGCAATATTAGAAATTTTCAATAATTAATATAAATTTATTAGTATCATTAACAATCGTTACCAATCAATAACAAAGATAATAATTTGTCTTGATGCTAATCAATGGAAACAATTAATTGTACAATTTTTTTTTCTCCTCAATTGGAAAATTTTTCTTTGAAATACAATGAATATATCAGTAACGATATACAATATATCCGATATTTTCGTACAAATCAAATCAATTTTATTCATCATTTTAGATTGAACGATGATGGTTATTTGAAATAGAAATTGATTATGAATGTATTTATTATTTCATTCATTCATACAAGTACTCATTTAAAAGTCTTTCTTTTTTTGTTTTTATATTAAATAATTTTCTTTGATTTTAGAGAACAATGATACAAATATGAACAAGAATAAATTCTTAATTTTTCTAAATCAACACAATGATCTACTAATGATATAAATGTTGCTGATTCTAATCAATTATTAAAAGAATGTATCAAATGTATTTAAACTATTTTATCAATTTATCATTTAAAAATATCTAATAGAATATCTTTTAATTTTGTTATTTAAAATTTTTAAATTTATTACTAGAACATGATTTATTTAAAATTTTTTCAATATTATCTAATAAAATAGAAAATTTAGATTCCGTTATAAATCATATTTTGTTTTCAATAGTAAACAATAGTAAAATTGTTAAAGTTTATTCTGAAAATGTTTATTTTATTGAACTTCCTTATTTGATGTTATTTTGTTTATTAATCACATATCTCAAATAAATTCATATAACTACTATCAAGATGAAATTAGTTTTACAATATATATTGGAACATAACAATCAATATAATACAGATCTACGTTTATTATCTTTTTGTACTCCAGTTGCACATGATCAACTAATAAAAAGCTTAGAAAAAAAATTGATGATAAAGAATTATTGATTGATGATAGATTTAAACGTCTCTATTTGACTAGATTTTTTTTTCTTTTATTTTTGTAAAGAACTTGATTAGATGTTTGTTTGTTTGTTTTGAAAATATTCGAAATGATTTTGTTTTATTAGAAAAGAATAAATAAATATTTCTTCTAGAATTTTATTGAAAAATGAATCAAAATAAACGAAAATTAAGTTTTAAAGATTCATCTGAAGAAACAACAAAGAAATCAAGAAAGAATAAAAATAATTGTACAAATGAATTAATTCAATCAATAACTTCTATTGAAAGTTTATCAAATGAAGTTTTTTATGAAATTTTTGATTATCTTGATGGTTGTCAAATATATGAATCATTTTCAAATCTGAATTATCGATTTTATCAATTGATCAATTCTTCATGTCTTCTATTTAAAATGATAGATTATTTTACAATTATAGATGATGACTTTTTAAATAATTGGAATGAAATTATATCATATAATAAAGAACAAATATTTTCTCTTACATTTTACACATCATCACGTATCGAACGATTTTTATCATCATCGACTATTCAATCATTTATTCATCTTCAAGCACTTTTTCTTTACAATGTACAATCTGATATACTTATGTCAGTTCTTATCAATCTATCATCTTTACCACATCTTCAATCATTAACTATTAATATGTTTAATACATCGATCAATTTAGCTGATATTTATCAATTAGTATTCAATTTATCAATGTTAAAATATTACAAATTGTCAATAGATGTTACAGATTTATCAATATCATTACCAATTCCTATCAATGAACAACAACAAAGTTCAATTGAATCTCTTATTATAGATCATTCTTGTACATTTCAACAACTTTCCACTATTGTTTCTTATACATTAAAACTTCGTTATCTAAAATTTACACATGGTTTTAATGATACTTCAAATAAATTATTGATTTTGCCAATCAAATTAGAAAATTTAACTTACTTTTCATTACATATTTATAGTGTTGAATTTCATGATTTTCAAAGATTTATTCAAAAAATTAATTCAAACTTAAAAAAATTAAATATTAGTATTCAATGTCAAGATATGACCTATCTCGATGCTTATCAATGGGAACAATTACTTCTAAAGTATTTTCCTTATTTAGAAAAATTTTATCTTATGTATTCCGATTGTATCAACAATGACAATCAATATTCAATATATTCGGGAGTAGGGGTGTCAGCGTTCCCCGTTCCTCAGCGTTCCGTTCCTAGGAACGGGAACGGAATGCTGAGGAACGGGGCACGTTGACATTCCTAATTTTTATGAAATTGGCTTTCCTTCAATGAATTAGTAAAATTTCTGTTAAAAGTGAAAGAAACGTATGTTGCGTTCCAGTTTCTAGGAACGGAACGCTGAGGAACGGGATAGCGTTCCCCGTTCCTAGGGACGGAACGCAAAGTTGACACCCCTATTCGGGAGGAATCAATCAATTTTCTACATCATTTTGGATTCAACGAAAATGGATATTGAAAGCACAAATTGAAGGAATATATATAAAATATGTGATTTATTCATACAGGTAGATCAATCAATATTTTCTGTAAAAAGAATCAATTGTTTTGTTTCTTTTAGTAAAACGTGGTACAATAATTTTGAAGTTACTAATATTGAATATTCAACATCAGCTACTTTAATACTGACAAATTTTCTTTCTTTGTTATATGTCGATATGCTGTTTAAAAAGGTCAAACGTATTCTAACTATTACACAAATTTATCACTTAATTGTTACTGAACAACATTCATCAATTCGTGTATTAGTTCAGTTGATAAATTTATTACCTGATTTACTTACGTTAAAACTTCAT